TGACTCTGCATTGCTTACGGAATCGTAGCCACTGGTCAACGTATCTCCTTGTCTCCTCCTTTTCTTGTGGCCTGGCTTGCCTTTTCTGGAACATTCCTGAATTGTAGGCATCCGGACTGTGTTTCTCCCTTATGAATGGTGGACTGAATGTGACACTCTATGTTCAAGTGAATGTGGCCAGGATGATGGCTTCTATTTATCAGTTTTTCCCCCAAATCTCATTTGAATGCCACAAAATATTTGGTTGGCCTTTTTAGCTGCCTTGGGTATTGGGAAAACCAAACAGTGGAGCTAAGATCCTCCCACTAACCCCAACCCTAACTCTGGCTGTTACCTTAATTAAATGTAGCAGGCCAGATACAGTAGACTGTGGGTTGCTTTGCTTTCCTTTTTTTTTTTTTGAGACAAGTCTCACTCTGTAACCCTGGGAAGAATGCTGTGTCATAGCTCACAGCAACCTCAAACTCTTAGGCTCAAGGGACCCTCTTGCCTCAGCCTCCTGAGTAGCTGGGACTATAGACACCCACCACAATGCCAGACTAGTTTTTCTATTTTTAGTAGTGATGGGGTCTCACTCTTGTTCGGGCTGGTCTTGAACTCCTGACTCTAGCAATCCACCCACCTCAGCCTCCCAGAGTGCTAGGATTACAGGTATGAGCCACCACACCTGGCCATGGGTTGCTTTTCATTTATTTAGTAATGACTGATGGATAACCAGCTACATGTGGGGTGTTATGCTGAATACGTGTGTGACAGGTATGACCCCTGCCCCAGGACATTCACTGTCCCAAGGCCATTGGGCAACTCATTCTTCCCCCCACCCAGCCCCTGCAAAAGGCAAATCATCTTTTTGTAGTTCACCTTCATTGTTGGGCTTCTGAATGCTATCCCATGGAACTTAGAATCATCTGCACATCTTCCTGTTCTCGTGACCAGACCATTTATAAAAAATATTAAATAAGACTAGTCATAGCACTGGTGCTTGGGGAGTCCCCAGTTCCACTTCTCTACACAGAATATGCCTTTTTCTGCCTCTAAGTTGTTTCTCTCCCCATGGCCAAACTACCCAAAGAGCCCATGGAGACTCATTATTTTTAAATATCTTTTCATGTGGAACCTTGTCAAAGGCTTTTGGAAAATCTAAATAGTTAAGAGACAAGAGCTGCACTGGGGATCAGGCGACCTGGGTTCTGGTCCTACCTGTCATTGGTTTATCATTGAACTTTGGAAAGGGCACAGAACAGCCCTCATCTCAGTTTGTCACCAGTAAGATGAGAATGATTATGCTGGCAGTCAACATCATAAAAATTTCACAACCATCAGATGAGAAAGTGTTATTTAAGAACGCTTTGCAAGGTATAAAACAAAAATATAAGGGATCATTATTTAGAAAACTTACAACAGCATCTCCATTTATATGCATGTTTTTCTCCCAAAAGAACCGCAGTAGCTGTGACCACATTTCCTCCAGCACCCACTGCAGGGTGAGGTTGGTTTAAAATCAACTCCTCCGACTGCTAGAAGGGATGTGGAGCCTGGCTTGATTCGAGCATTTGGTACACTGTGTGAGCCTGTAGCAGCCGGGACACTGGGACCGATCAGGCCTTGGGATGGGTCCAGTCTGTGCCACCCTTGAATAAGTTACTTCACTTTTCTTGTGCCTCACCCGTAAATGGGTGCCATGTTAACTCCTTTACTGATTATGAGATTTAAATGGGAAATACTTAGGTGTAAAATGCCTGGCATCGTGCCTGACACATAGTGGCCACTCGATACATAGCACTTATTATTGTTTGTCTATGCAGAGGCCCCAGAGCTGGCAGCTGGTCCATCCTCCCTAAACCTTAGGATTGGGCATCAGACGTTCAGCACATTCCGCCATGGACTTGTCTTCATGTCTTGTGTGAAATTCTTTCAGACATTGGGTAGCTGAATGCTTTCCTTTCTGTTTTCTGAAAAGTTGTAGATGGGAGTGGGCTAGGGAAGGAGACAGAAGAAATGCCTCCCAGTTGCTGTTTCCACTCTGGCCAAGTACATAGGGTAGGGGATAGGACTCTGTCCAGCCTCCCTGCAGAAGGACAGGCCTGTGAAAACTTCACCAATTGGTGCTTCCTGCTCCATGCCTTGTCCACCCTTCTGTCCCTGACTCATGCCATCTGTTGTCCTCTGATGTCCACCTATGTCTGGACAGAGGAAATGGACACCTATGTTGTCCAGAGGAGCAGGGAAATTGGGGCCTAATGATAAAGAAGACCACTCAGGCACTGAATCCAATTTCCACTGGGGATCAGACCAAGGGACGCCGGATGAGACTTAGTTCCGCCAGCAACTCCCTGCATAGCCTGCTCTGGCCGACAGTGGCCTCAGAGGGCTGGACACCAGCCAGGGTGCTCAGTATCACTCTCCAATGCCGCTCCAGGGACAACTCCCAGGTGGAGACAAAGCCCAGCTGGGCCAGTGGCCAAGGCCATCACTGCACTGTCAGACTTGGGTGGTAATCCCAATTGGTTTTGCACCAATTCCTATTTCATTCAGATTAAGAAGAGACATGAACATCTGGTGGCTTGGGGATGGGCAACAGAAGAAGGGCTCTGGGAACTCAAGGCATTTTGATTTTTAGTGTCTCTTTAATTCCTTTAATTGCTGTTGTTTTCATGTGCATAATGGGAAATTAGCAAGGAGGAGTTTCAACTTCAATCATTTATTTTATCATTTTTAAAATGAAATATCTGTCAAGCTCTAGTGCTTTCACATCAAAAATCAGGAATGACTAGAGAAAGTCTCTGGAAGTGTAAAGACTAGAGCCAGACCTTGACTTCAGCCCCCTGTCTTTAGGTAGCCCTCACCAGGAAATAAATGGGAGGCCCACTCTAGTCACGTAACTGGGTGATGGAGAAAGCATGGACTTCAGAGTCAGACTGGATTCCAATTCTGTCTGCAGATTTTATAGCCAAGCCAGTTATTTAATACACCTGAGTCTTATTTTCCTCCTCTACTATCAGTATATATCACTTAGGGCTTTTGATGTTGCATACAACTTGATATTACTTTAACAAAAAGGAAATGTCTTGAGTAACTGGGAAACTCCAGCATCAGGTAAACTTTGGGGTTACTTTGATTCAGTGACTCAGTCATGCCACCAAAGACCCGTTTTCCGCCCCCCATCTCTGTGGTTGACCTGCCCTCGTTCCAGCTCCCTCCCTGTTGCAAGAGGTCTGCCAACAGACCTTTGGGCTGCATGTTTTTGGACCTTGTAATGGGTGAGGAGACCTCTTCTCTTCTCCATCATCTGTCCTCCTTTGTGCTCTCATTGAACACATTGGTTGGCTTGACTCTTTTCTATCACTGCAGCAAGAGAGTGAGATGAAGTTGATTTGTTTATGCTCAGCAAGCACTCCCCAGGAAGCAGAGGGGGTTCAATCCCACCCAAAGGTTGAGAGAGCGTGGAATGGCTGCTGGAGGGCATGTGAGCCATGACAGTGACCACTGAACTCACAGGATTGAGAGGATTATACCAATAAGGAATTATACTCAGAACCACCACCCAGTACATGAAGTCTAGGAGGCTTAAAAATAATGCTTAAAAGGAAAATAAATCAGAGTCTGGAATAAACCTAAAAATCAAACACACAAGCTGCAAAACAACCTGATGTCAGAATTCTGTAAACTCGAGAGAAACAGGAAGCAGCAGACTTCCCAGTGACCAGACATGATCAGTCGTCCTTAATGTGGTGGCCTTTCTATCATTCAGTTCCTTGGAATGAACTCTTTTATTCTTCCTGATCTCATGAGAGGTTAAAAATTTAAAAGGGGAGAGCATAACAAGAATACTTGGAATATAATATTTTTTTAGTTTTGTTATTGAAATCTCTAAAATTACATAGTGTGTACCGTACAGTCTTATACTAACGGCGTCTAATCACGTGTGGTGAACCCGTAGCTCTCACTGACCACGTTCTCAGTAATATTCGTTCCCACCTCACATAGTGAGGCTCTGCCAGATGTTTGTCTTGCAGCCAAATGCTGGCCATGGCTCCTTAGAAACCTAGAGAAGGAGATTTGACTTACTCAGCTCCATGGATGTCTTTTCAGTTATGCTCCTTGGGCACTGAGGCTGGGTGTGCCCGAACAGGGAACACTGGTTGTGTTGGATCTGTGCCTTTGGACCTGTGATGGTTCTGGAGACCTGAGCCAACACTCAGGAGCCAGACAAGCATCAGGTGGGGCTGGGAAGC